ATGTAGGCAAAGAAAAGACAGAACGTCTTACCAATATAAAAAAAATTGAATTGAAAATGATGAAATGGACAAGAATAAATATTTAAATTTGTTACAATATGGTTCCACCGAATTTCCCCATTAATTTACCTACGTGACACTATGGATCTCACATTTTCGCTTTTTTAAATTACCGATTGAGCTGTTGCAGATAGTCCACGTCAAAACCTGAAGTTGGTTAAAGATGATGCATGGCAGAGCTCACGATTTACGGGCCAACTTCAATTCCCTATTTAAGATAGGGTGGGTCTGACCCTAAATGTTCAACCCTAAGAGCCGAAAAAGTCTGTGGCTAGGTAGAGAATAGGCTAACCCCACTCAAGGTTGGACTGGCTCAACTCGGCCCATTTTACAATCAAATACCACAATTTGGCTTTGCAATGGGTGCTTCTGATGCTTGTATTGTTACTCATAATGATGAAAATGACTATGCCACATTGTAGACTCTTAAAGAAAAAAGAAAAAAAAAAGAGAGAATAAGATAGAAGAATAAGAGTAGGTCCATATGCCTTTCTTTCCCATCTACATTGGCGTACAAAATTTATTTTCTCATTGTAAACTTTTTCATGTCTTTTCCATCACCACCATCACAACATGTAAAAGCTGCTATATTCTTCACTCTCCACATGTTTATGTTTTAGTTTGCTTGACCTCCTAAGCACAAAAAAGGTTTATAGGATAATGCTTGGCAACTGACAACAACACTCGCCGATTTTGCAGTTGTGTTGTTGTACAAATAGTTGCGCATGACCCTCACAACACTATTGCAATGTAGTTTCACCAATATGCCTTTAATAAAAATCCATAATTTTTATATGTTGAATTATTGTTTGTATCGTATCTGATCAGCCTTTTCGATACCAAGAGATCAAAAACAACAAGCATTGGCAAGTTCAATTACTGATCAAGACCAACAAAGGCCCTCCTACAACCAAGGACACATGACAGCCCCACAAGTGATGTCCACAAGTCCCACATCGAAATATTACCTCAAGGTTTCCCTCATATCTCCTCTCTATAATCAGAGCCCTTGCCCAAATGCACAAAATAATAGTAATTTGGCTATTGTACCCTTACTCTACCAAATTACCTACTCACTCTATACTTAGCTAACTTAAGTATAAGAGAGCCTTCAGACGATACCACACTGGTGCCAAGATCTCACCCTCCTTGCACTAAGGCCTAGTTTGGGATTGTTGCCACTTAAAAAAAAAACGGCTTTTGCTGTGCTTTAAAAAGAATCAGCTGCAAAGTAAAACAGTTAAACATTTGGTAAACTGTAATTTTAAAAGTGCTGTGAGTATGAAAGGCAGTGTCAGAGCATTTGGTAAATTTTACCTTAAAAGTGCTGTAGCTATTTATAATGACTAAAATGGACATGACCCCAACACAGGTTTTAGGATGGCATGAACACCGCTTGAAGAAACCATGGATTTGATTTGGCCAGGAAGTTTTCGTGTGGAAAAATTTCCAACACAAGAATCAGATATACATAATAAGCACAACCAGTATAGAAAAAACAAAAAAACAAAAGCAGCACGTATATAAAAATTTCGAGAGAGTGAAGAGATTGAAGAATAAATATATCCCAGAAAATTATAATCAATAACTTTGAAGAGATTGATAATCTACCTTGTGAAAGAGATTGAGAGAGATTGAGCCTTGGGAGGCTACGTGAAGATGAACTTTGGTGTCTGTAGATTTGAGAGAAATACGTGAGGATAATTATCTAACCTAATAAGGGTATTTGTGGAATTGCGAAAATTTCATTAAAGGGAGTGCACTGCTTCAATTGAAAGTAACTTTAAAAAGCAACCCCGATGTTGCTTTTAAAAGCTGCTGTCTAGACCTGGCATTCGTGTCGTGTTATCAGTATTCGTGTCGTGTTCGTGTCAACCCGTTTTTCTTAACGGGTTGACACGACACGACACGATAAGAAAACGGGGGGGAAAAATCAAACATCTTCTTCTTTTTTTACGCAATGTGTTGATTTTATTTTTTCACTCTTCTCTCATTCCAATTTCTTACTGTTATAGATACACAACACAAGGCAATGCATCGTTTTCAAATATTGTTTGTTATTATTTATTTTTCTTGCTTCAAGCTTGTGCAAAATCCAAGCTTTTCTTCTCCTTTTTGATCTGTCAATTTCACGAATCACACCCACTTTGCTTCGAAGTTTTCACATTTCTCATATTTTTGGAGCAAACACAAACATCCGGTACAAGGCTTTTGCTATTATTGGATTGTTCATTGGGAATTTGAAAGTGCTGGGCAGTGGGGGGTTCTCACCAAGGAAGTTGAGGACTATGCTACTGGGAGTAGAGAAGAAGAGGAATGAAAAGGAAGATCCTGAATCTAAATTTACTTTGAGATCTCAACCTTTTGACTTAGATGAAGCTGGTAGAAAAAATATTTACCAAAAAAATTAAGACATTCGTACCTAGAGAGATGATTTGGCAGGGGAAGATATTGGAAGATAGAGACAGAGGTGAGATGGCAAGAAGAAGAAGATGGGGTTGTTGAGCGAGGTTCTTGAAAGAGAGAAATTTGAGAGATTGCAAGAAGGAGAAGATGAGGTTGAGAGAGAGAGAAAGCTGCGAAGAGGAGGAGATGGCTGAGAAAGCGATGCGGAATGAAACAAATGCTAGGGTTAGGAGATTTTTTAGAATTGCAAATTACAAAATTACCCCCGCTTAACGGGTTGGTTCGTGTATTCGCGAATGGGCATCAAAACGACCCGTTAGCTTAATGGGTGGCTAACGGGTCAACACGATATCAACACGACACGATAACTCAAACCCGAATACTGAATTTTTCGTGCGAATTCGTGTCGTGTTAACGGGTCGTGTACAATATTGCCAGGTCTACTGCTGTCAAAAGACCATTGCTTTTAAAATAAGCAAGATATTTTATTTTTACCAAACATCTTAAACTGCTTCACTTTAAAGTTAAGTAGGTTTTTGGCCAAAAATAGCAATCCCAAACGGGGCCTAAGGAGGTCCACGACCGAAGGCAAGACACCTTTAAGTTGGTACCATCAGTAATCATCCATTTTTGGGCATCAACAATTATAAATCTTTGTTAAACATAATAAATCATACCTAATACACATCTAAATAAACTCTACTCATCCTAAAAAAAAAATTTAAAAAATTTCTTGGACAATTTAGACATGTTAAAAGAGTAGTTATCAAGTATTAGATAACTTAGACATAACTCCATATGTACCATACGATATGTTTACTTATATGAAATATGAAAGTCATGAATTGTGTAAGTCAGTGAAGTGATAGAAGTCACGAAGTAGAATAATCCTGATTGATGCTCATTTCAGATAACTAACCCGTTCGGTAACGTTTTCGGAGAATGTTTTCTTAGAATATTTTCAAAGAATGAAAACAAGAAAATGAATTTGCATTTTCAGGAAATGAAAATGCGTCTGGTAGATTAATTAGAAAACATCTTCAGAAAATAAAAACAATGAAAACATGTATGGTAGTACAATTTGAAATAATAATATGTGAGTTATTTTTATGAAAACATTTCCCATGAGAATGAAAACAACTTTTTTCTGTTTTCTACAAGTACACATGAACTTGTTTCTATTTTATGAAAATATTCTCAGTGTTTTCTGTTTTTGGCCACCGAACATGTTTTTGCCTTATTTTTGTTCTCTGAAAATGAAAACCCCCCCTTAAAACGTTACCGATATATACTTATTTTTTTTTTTGGTCAACTCAGATAACTAAACTAAACACACTAGTAGAGTTGAAATTTTTTGAAAACAAAAAGGAGAATAACTTTGCAAATTACATGCTCGAGAGGGCTCTTAGCACAAAATAAATTTAAAGTAAAATAAAGTAAATACAATACGGACTTTAGATCAAGAGGACATATTTTTGCAGAATAGAAACATCACATCAAATTGGTTCTGTTTGCCTCCTAAGCTCTTATTTCCAAGATGCCAGTTTAATTTTTTTTAGGGTCATGCTAGGGAGACCAACTTGGGAGACCAACTTGGGATACCAACTCTCTAATAGAGGTGGAGCCCACCAATGCAATGGGTCCCACGCTCTATTAGAGAGTTGGTATCCCAAGTTGGTCTCCCAAGTTGGTCTCCCTAACATTTTCCTTTTTTTTAACTCCACTTTTCTCTGCATTTTGCAATTAAAAGATGGCGAGAGTCTGTGAGAGAGAATCTCTTGCAGACAAAAATTCAAAGCTATGCTGTGTCATTTTGTGGGGCTCTAATTTCGTAGCAGATCAGGAAAAGTCTTTTCCTTGAAATTTCTAAATAAGTTGTTTTATTTTGCTTGCTATTCTCCAAATTCTGGTGCAGAAAATGGGTATTTCAAAAATATGGGAACTCCAAGTCTTGTAGATCCCCTGTTTCTGCTACTCTGTTTTCGACACTTGACCCAACTGCATTAAACAAAACAGAACATAAAAAATTGGTAAATGTAAGCATAATTTTCGGAGAGTCCACATTACAATCATAAAAAAATGGTCATAAACTTCAAAAATAATTTACTTACCATTCTATAATTTTCCATTTGAGATAATTCAGCTTTGTCAGTTTGCTCATTCTGGGTTTTTTTTTTCCTTCTGGTTTACTCTGGTTCAAAAATGAAATTTAAATACAGAAAAAGAAAGAGCTTTTATTTTATTTTATTTGCCTAACTAAAGTCCATCCAGGCAAAAGTGAAAACGGTGGTTTTCTTTTCCGGCAGAGATAAAAGGTAAAAGAAAATGAGATTATTCATCAAGGAGGAGGCAAAAGCAAGTCAAAGAAACGTACCAAAATAGCATGCGCAAGTCAGTATCTGTTTTCTGAAATTGAACAGAGAAAAGAAAAAGAAATAAAAGTAAAAGAAAAGCGTTTGGTATAATTGCCTTATCTTTTTTGGACTGTTTATTATGCAGAGAGAGGAATTATAAAACGTAATTGGGGTTGTTGACGCGTGCAGACATGGTCTCCTCTCATAGCTGATAAACGTTACCTACTTTGTTATTGTATTGATAGAGAAGTGTCAAACGTTGTGACGGTGGAAGCTTTTTGGGTAGGTGGAGGTCTTATCCTTGAAGCATAAAAACAAAAAGCTTTTATTTTTCTCTCTTCTCTTCGTTGCCTTACTGGGAAAGTTTCAGAATTTGGGTTTTGAGAAGGAGGGTCAAGAATTGGGTTGCATAGCTATATTTTGGAGATCATTTGTGAGGGTTGGGTTTGGTTGGCGAGATGGGTTCATATGGAAAACTTGCAAAGAGGGCTGTGGAGACTGAGATGCCGATCATGGTTCAGGTATTCAGGCAAAAACTCCAACGGGGTTTTTTGTAATTCTTTGAACTAAATCTGTTTTATCTCCAAATTTTGGGTCTTCTTCTTTGGGTGTGAATTGTTTGTTGTGTAATTCCAAAGTATATGTTTGAAAATGGTAGTTGTTTTTGCAGATACAACAATTGGTTCGAGGAGCCAAGAATGCTGTGTCACTGGCCCAGGTTTGTTTCTCTTATCCCAAGGAATAAAATCTCATTTTGATTGGTTTTATGTTTTGCTGTAACCATGGAGGCATTGAGAAGTGAAAATAATTTTTTATTTGGTTTTGGCGTTGAGATAAATGTAAACCCAAGTTATTGGACAAAGAGAACCGTTTAGTTTGTTCTTTGAGGGTGAGGGCGTGTTTGGTGCTAATTCTGATTGCTGGAAACGATGAATGTGATACAAAAGAGGCATTTGATAATTCATATTAGAATTAGTGTTTGACTAGGAAGCTATGCACCTGAAGAGTGAACAAGCTGTTTGTGTGTGCATATCTGGTTTACTTTTCTGGGTGTAAATACTTTTTAAGAAACACAAAATGAGAGAAAAATTGCAACCTTTTCCTGTGATAGTTTTTGTGCCAAGATTTTAATAATTGAAACATGCATCTTTCAAGTTAAAAACTATTATAGAGAACCAAATAACATATCTCTGAAATCATGACTAATGGGAGCCAGTCCGTCCCAATTGTCAAACATGAGCCAACTTGCTTAACTTAATGAAATAAAACACTCTATTTTGTTATATGTTTATTTATGTTCAACAAATTCCTGACCTTTTTTTAAATCTATATTTTGCCAAATCTGCTAACTCGTTTATGTTATTTTATTTATCTATTTTTTAACGGATTGTTGCATTATATGCATGCATGCCAGAACGGATGTTCTAAAAAGCAGTTTGAATTTGTTCATCACATTGGCGTTTTCTTGCATCACTGCTTATTTTATGTGTTCTCTATCCCGTAGTTAGGTTTGGAAAATATGCTTAAATGTTCTTTGGTTGAATTGTGCTGTAGGGAGTAGTTCACTGGCAACCACCCAAACAGGCTTTGGATAAGGTGAAAGAACTTGTATGGGAGCCTTCAATTAGTCGTTATGGTGCTGATGAAGGTATAGCTGAACTCAGGGAGGCATTGGTAAAAAAGGTATCAGTAGAAATAGTTCAGTGTTTCTCCTAATTATGATCGATTTTAATCTCTTGATACGGTTGAGCTACTTGGGGTTCTCTGTTCAATGTTATTTTCAAATAATATATGGCTTGTCATATTCTGTTTTATATGTCATTATTAACAATTACCCTTTAGGGACAATGCCAAGGATTGTTGTCTTTGTCTGAGATCAATATTTTTGAAAATATGACCATGCAACTACAAATTTATAACATCTTTTGCCATCTCCTTTTTTTTCCTTCTTTATTTTGCAGTTGCATAATGAAAATAAGTTGTACAAATCTTCAGTGATGGTTACTTCAGGTGCAAATCAGGTGATTATCATTGTATTTTATGTTGTGTATTTGTTTTATAATTTGTGCAACTTAACACCCGAAATAAGGAGTAAATTGACTTCCCTGCTAACTTCGAGTGATAGTGATTAGCACCTATTAGGATAAAAATAAAATATTTCTCTGGAAAATTGTGTTGCCCGGTGAATTTCATATTTGCAGCCGTATCACCATCTGATTCAGACACATAACCTTAGAAAAATCATACGTTATGGTCATCTTTGCAATTTATTTTGATCTTTAGTTGCTCAGCCTTTTGAATATGACAACAAATATTGAGTTTTACAGAACTCATTTCAAGAAATCTGGGATAACTTTATAACAATTTCAATGCAGGCATTTGTGAACCTTGTTCTTACATTGTGTGATTCCGGGGACTCTGTGGTTATGTTTGCACCGTACTACTTCAATGCCTACATGTCCTTCCAGATGACCGGCGTCACTAATATATTGGTGGGTCCTGGCCACCCAGAGACACTTTACCCAGATGCAGGTGAGAAGCTTAATGAACTTCTCATTGCAGAGGGACATAAAAGAATGACAACATTTTTGCACTTGCATCGAATGATATTTCTACTCTTTCTATCTGGATATAAATATAAGCACGCAGTATTAGAAAGAGTGTAATGTTTGCCATTGGTCGAATCAAGTAAAAAGGCTTGTTATCTTCTGTTGTCATTGCATGATAAATTGTGACTGCTGCATATATTTAGTTCCTCTGTCTAATCACTTATATTGAGCCTGCTAAAGTATCATAACATATTACATTAGGTTTGTGATAAATTATTGGTGCATTCCAACTGTCCATCTTGGACATGCTGTGGTAGGCATGATAGTTCTGACAACTTGGATCATTTGTCATGCATTGGATTGTCTGATTGCTTCTATGCATAATTAAAGTACATTATACATATAAGTTGCATCTTCTATTGATGCCCCATAAATGGGTGGGCTTGTGCTCGATGTTAGATTAAAATTGAACGAATTAAAAAGGGGACACAAGTTCTCTACCAGGTGGATTGGAGAATTAATATGTTTGTGGAATTTGAGATAAAGCAGTGTGATTGACTGTAGAGTATGTCCAGTGAATATTCTTTCTTTACATCATATATGCTACTTTGTTATTTCAGACTGGTTGGAGAAAACGTTATCGGAAACAAAACCAACCCCAAAACTTGTTACGGTTGTTAATCCAGGCAACCCAAGTGGAACCTATATTCCGGACCCTCTTCTTAAGGTCTCTCTCTCTCTCTCTCTCTCTCTCTCTCTCTCTCTCTCAATTCGTCTCTCTCTCTCTCTCTCTCTCTCTCTCTCTCTCTCTCTCTCTCTCTCTCTCTCTCTCTCTCTCTCTCTCTCTCTCTCTCTCTCTCTCTCTCTCTCTCTCTCTCTCTCTCTCTCTCTCTCTCTCTCTCTCTCTCTCTCTCTCTCTCTCTCTCTCTCTCTCTCTCTCTCTCTCTCTCTCTCTCTCTCTCTCTCTCTCTCTCTCTCTCTCTCTCTCTCTCTCTCTATTCGTGTCTATGTACAAAAGAGTTTGCAGTTGTGATTGTGTATGCGTACAAAAAAGTTTGTTGTGTTGATTGAGCCTTGTGAATAAACTGTTTGGTTTCTTAGAGATATTCTATATGCTTTTCTTATTTTCTTTCCTCTCTTTGTGAGTAGAGGATTTCAGATATTTGTAGAGAAGCTGGATCATGGCTTGTTGTGGATAATACATACGAGTAAGTGTATTAAATTTTATCTGATTGGAAATGCTGCAATAATATGTTCTTAAGTCATTATTTTGCTGACTTGATGATATGGATTTATATGATTCTCATCTAGAATTTGGTCCGTGTTCAAACATGGGTGTATTCATTGGTATAAATCTCAGGGCACACACATAACTTTTCCTGTGGGTTCCCTTTTATGTGGATGGAAGTTACTCTGATCAAAATCTCAGTTGATTTCATGGCAACAATGATGGTGATCCTTGCATCTGTTTATGTCCATGAAACTTCACTGACTATTAAAAAAGTCTGACATTGTGAACTGCATACAACATTCAAGTTTTTTTCTAATTTGATTAGCATGCAAATTGATCTGTAGTTTTTGTACGAGGAATTATGTAAAGATATGTGAAGATTGGGGCTGAGATCCATTATAGTACATAAGGAAAGCAAACGATGAAATAAAATAGAATAGCAAAAGAAGGAAGAGGCTGTAAGTTGGTTTGATTCTTCCATTCTATCGAAAATAAAAATAACCTGAACCATTTGGCCTTCTCCCCCTGACATCTTTTGAATATCTCCAAGTTTAAAGATTCTGAGCTTTACTGAAGTGAATGCTTGCTCAGATGACTTTTGCCTATAATTGGATTGAGATGTTTGGATGCCAGGGAAAATGGATCTACAAAAGTGACATGAATGCTGTTTAGAAAACCTTAATTGGGCAAAGTGTCCAACTGAGCATTTGAATAGGTTACTGTAGCTTTAAAAAGGGAGAGCCTACAGATTTCTCTGTCCTTATCAAAGTTCTTTGAAGAAAGCCTTTTATAATCTCTCTACGTTATGGACCCACAGTAATGTCAGTCCATAACTTTCTTGAATAGCAGTTATGTGAGTTTGCCTTTTGCTTCAGCGGAGCTTAGTTTGTCTCGGTTATATTGCCTAGTACCTATATACACTTATATTAATAGTTGCAGTCTGCTGAGTTCAAAATGTTAATGTGTAAATAGGTTTTAATACATTCCATTTGCACTAGATTGGGTCCATCAAGAATGACATATATACCAAATTGATGACTTATTTACCTGAGTACTCTTGAGTGTATTCAAAGAAACATTTTTTTCTTTTTTCCTTTTCACCAGTGGTGTCGGATTGTTAACTGCTTTTGATTGAAGAATTAATATGTGTTAAATGTTTGCTTCTGAAGCATCCAAGAGTACATGTGGGTTTTAAAGTTTGATTTTGCAGGTATTTTATGTATGATGATTTGAAACACACATGTGTGGAGGGAAATCACATAGTCAACATTTTTTCCTTCTCGAAAGCTTATGGGATGATGGGATGGCGAGTTGGATATGTAAGAAATACTTTTGATCTCTTATGCTTGTTAAGTTGATAGAGCTGGTTTGAAAACAAACGTGAGTTTTGCTTCATTCAGTAGGGTATAGAGCTTGCATCTTGCTAGCTGATAATTACCTTCAAGTTTCTTGTGGTAGTGTATTATGACAAAGAAAATCAGCTAAATCAACAAGAGTCAAAAGGTCATTTATGGGAAATCACCTTATCAAATAGCCATTATAACCAATCAAATATTTTTGAAATTTCCATGCATGAACATGAGTCATAGAAGTTTTGATCGATCTCGAAATGGTCAAGGTTGTTCTCTTTGAACTAAATATTTGATAGCATATGTATGCATGAGTAAGCATTGCTGATTCGAGCTAATTGATGAATTTATGCAGATAGCATACCCATCAGAAGTGGAGGGTTTTGCTACCCAACTCCTCAAAGTTCAAGATAACATTCCCATCTGTGCGTCAATAATTTCACAGTACCTTGCGCTTCACTCATTGGAAATGGGACCCGAATGGGTCACTGAACGAGTGAAAGGTCTTGTCAAGAATAGAGAAATTGTTCTAGAAGCGCTCTCCCCTCTCGGAAAAGATGCTGTTAAAGGTGGAGAAGGTGCTATATACTTGTGGGCAAAGCTTCCGGACAAATATGTAGATGACGATAAATTTGTTCACTGGCTTGTTCACAGGCATGGGGTGGTGGTGATCCCCGGAAGTGCGTGTGGGTGCCCAGGAAATGTGAGAATCTCCTTTGGTGGCTTGCTAGAGGATGACTGCAAAGCTGCCGCAGAAAGGCTGAGGAGAGGGTTAGAAGAATTGATCAGAGATGGAATGGTTCAGTAACTTTAACTTTTGCATTTAATTCAACATTGAAAATGGAAGTCCATTTGCCAGTTTACACAAGTTTGAAACTGGTTCTTTAGAATAATGGAGGGTCTGCTGCCAGCAAAAGAATTAGTGTAATTTCAATGAAGTAGGCAATGCCTAAGTTCTAACATGTGCTTATGTGCTTGTATTGTTGTTGTACACATTGATCTTGAAAATACATGCAATACATGATTCAAATGTTCACATGTATATATGGTCATATATTTCTTTTCCTTTTGTTTGAACTATTTCTGCATTGGAAACAATCATTTTGAAAAATTGTGTCAAATTCCCAGAATGAAAGTAGAAGCTACCACAGCCCTGGTTGCTTCTGTATGTATGGTAGACAATTTTGACTGTGTTACAATAGTAAGCTGTGTAGTTCTGTCATATGTTGTGCCTCTATTAGTCTTAAACTCTTTCATGCTGACACCAAAATAAGGTTTCTTTGAGAATGATTGTGTTTTCTGTTGATATGTTTATTTACTAGGATGGGTATTATGATTATTGTAATTCTTGACTTCCTCTAACACAAACACATGGGTATTTTCAATTCATGACTTCTCCAGTGTTTACTAACACATACGAAATTGAAAAGTATGTGATGTTCACATTACAATTCGTAATCCAATACTTTAAAAACGAAGAATTAGATTGGTGAAGGGTAGGTAGCCATACTCATTTATTCTCTTCCCTAGTTGTGACTTGTCCGATTGATGAGCGTGTTATAAGTACTTTACCATTGAAGTTATAAGATTTAACATTTGATAGAAGTTAACATTTCAAGAATCATCGATAACTTAAAAAAATTGAAAGAAAAGGAAACTTATGTTTTCCTTTTTGATACAAGGGTGGGTGGGGAACAAGAAAGAAATCTTAATTTGAAATATTTAGAACGGATTTGCCAATTGCCACCCTACCTCTTCAAAAAAAAGAAAAAAAAAAGAAGAAAAAGGAAAAAGCAAAAAGAAAGAAAATAAGTAGAAATCATGAAACGAGTATTGGGTTGGGTCATTGTGGGCCCCTTTTTTTTTTACTGGACAAGCTTTTGTGTTCAAACTTCTGTTGGGCGGGCCCTACATACTCAACAACAACCACAACTAATCTCACACACCAACATAGACCAACCCCGTAACGACTAAATACCAAGGACAATTTGGTCAATTCACAAAGCATCATTCCCCTCCCCCACCTGGAAACGTTTAAACGGCGACGTCAAAAGCTCCCTGGGCTGCTTCATCGTCCTAGAGAGAGAAAGACAGAGAGTTCTAAAGAGAGAAACTGTTGAGTTCGAGTTTGAGCTTCTTCTTCATCAGTACATGAACCCTAATTGTACGGAACCTTAGAAATCAGAGCAAGCGAGAGAGAGAGAGAGAGAGAGAGAGAGAGAGAGAGAGAGAGAATGGTTGGGCCAACTCTGGTGGGTCTGCAAGACCACCTGAAGCTGGCGAGAGAGTACGCAATGGAAGGGCTCTACGATACCTCCTTGATCTTCTTTGATGGTGGCATTGCTCAGATCAACAAGTACATTTCTTAATTTTTTTTAATTTTTGTGCTCTTTTCTTTTTCCTTTTCGTTACAAGTTTATCTGTCTTGGAACTATTTGTGCAAATTTCTAGGTTTTGGTTGGTCATTCTTTTGAAATTTGAGCGTATATGAAATTGCATTTTTGGGTCTCTGTTTGATTCATGCGGACCTCAAGATTTGGTTTTTCTAGCCACATTTTCCTATATCTTTTCAATGGATAACCAATCTTCCGGGAAAATATCCTTTCTTTTTGCTTGTTTTGTGATAATTGAAAGTGTTGGAGGTGGAAAGAGAATTTTTGGGCATTCTTCGAAGGAAAAATTTGGTAATGAGTGCCAGAGGCCCTTTACTTTTATTTTTCTGATTTGTATATGAAAATGAACAAATGAGAAAAGAATTAGTCCTACTGATTATTACTATCGCATTCTGAAGGAACTGACTATCTACTCTCAGGGTGTCTGAAACCATGAATTAATTGATGAAGTAGAGATTACAAACATGAAATTTGAACTATATAGAGCTTTCCTAAACCATAAGATTGCAACATATGCACAATTTCAATGTTTTCAAATTTGAACTATATTGAGCTAAGAAACAACTTTTATAAAATGATTAAATTTGAACTAGATCGAGCAAAAAATTAACTTTATAAGGTTATGATTTTCCCTTTTAGTAATCCACAAGGGGTATGAGTTGTGCAAGAAAACCATTTGGGAGAGGGTTGGGGGGATTCCATGTGCCTACTGCAAGGGGTGCAGTTGAATTGCCCTGACAAGAATATGCTTTGGATTTTTTTTTTTGATGTGTATTCATTTACATGACAACTGGGGAAGAGCAGAGAGGATGATGTTTTCCCAGTTCTCATTATCAAATAGCATCCAAAGATTAATAGGGTTAAAAAATTTCTTTGTGGAAGTTTTTCTAGGTGCTATATTCTACCAAAACAGCGTGATGGGCCTTTGGCAGACTATGATCTGTTTTAAATGTATCATGGGAGTTCTATGATTTATAGCATTAGTTTTTTCATTATTGTTCCTCCCTAAGTTTACTTGGCAGAGATTTGAATTTCTTATTTGCTTCCAGGCACCTAAACACGCTTGATGATCCGTTGATTCGCTCGAAATGGATGAATGTAAAGAAAGCACTTACCGAGGAGGCAGAGGTTGTGAAACAATTAGATGCAGAGAGAAGAGCATTTAAGGAAAGTCCCTTGGGCCGACGCCCTTCGTCACCTCCAATTCATGCTAAGTCGTCATTTGTTTTTCAACCCTTAGATGAATACCCAACTTCTTCTGGTTTACCCATGGATGATCCTGATGTGTGGAGGCCACCAAGTCGGGACACTACAGGTAGAAGACCTGGAAAGGCTGGCCCAGGTGGTATGAGGAAGTCACCACAAGATGCAACTTGGGCTCGTGGCTCTGCAACAAGAACAGGCACACCTGTACGTGGTGCAAAGGCTGGTGGATCAAGTAGGGCTAACTCAGCGGTTCGAACATCTACTACTGGAAAGAAAGGCACTGGTTCTGGCAAATCTAGCAAGGCAGATTCAGCGGTAAGTTCTATCAATAAAGCTGTAATCTTCATTATTCAAATACCCATCACTAGTTAATTACGGTGTGCTAAAAACTTTTGTCTTGATATCATTTGCTTCATATTTCCTTTTTGCAAGGTGATGGAAAACTATGACCTTGTGTTGTAGTTTTTAGCATCAAAGTTTGAATCTATAGTTTCAGTATCTTTCATTGTCCTGCTGACTGATTTGTTTTTGAAATTTTTAGAATGGTGATGCTGAAGATGGAAAGTCAAAGAGGTCACAGTATGAGGGACCGGATCCTGATTTGGCTGAAATGCTTGAAAGGGATGTGCTGGAAACCAGTCCTGGAGTGAGATGGGATGATGTTGCGGGTTTGACTGAAGCAAAAAGACTTCTAGAGGAAGCTGTTGTGCTTCCTTTGTGGATGCCTGAATATTTTCAGGTATTGTTGAATTGAAACTCAATTATGATAATGGTATCTTGGGTACATGGCTATTTGCATGCGATCTTTCCTATGTTATCACTTAAGTTTTGTTAACAAGCTGCACTTCCTTAGGATCTTACTTTGAATTGTGTAGCTACTTTTGTATGGTTGTTGTTGTTATGGAATATATTTGATGACATTTAAACGAATCCAAATGAAAGTAGTTACATTAGTATGACCCAAATAGTGTTCACATCTGTACTTTGAAAAAGCAGGCTTTAATTTGTACCTATTTCACATTTCTGCATTTCAGTGAGGCAATTGATTCTTATTCTACATGCTGAAATGTCTCTATCCAGATAGTCCATTTTTCAGATTGAACTTATTGCTTCTTTGCTTGCAGGGAATTAGGAGGCCATGGAAGGGTGTTCTTATGTTCGGTCCTCCTGGAACTGGGAAGACGTTACTTGCTAAAGCTGTTGCTACTGAGTGTGGAACAACTTTTTTCAATGTCTCCTCTGCTACTTTAGCATCAAAATGGCGTGGAGAGAGTGAACGTATGGTACGGTGCTTATTTGATCTTGCAAGAGCTTATGCGCCGAGTACAATATTCATTGATGAAATTGATTCACTTTGCAATTCCCGGGGGTAAGATTTTAATCTAGTTTTACATAAATATCTTAATTAACTTCTCAGATGTTATTGCATGTATGCTATATTCGTGGAAAACTTACATATGCATGAGGTATCTTTTCTTGCGCTGACCCAAATTCAAAACCTCAATTTCTCTAGGGCATCAGGGGAGCATGAGTCATCCAGAAGGGTGAAATCTGAACTGCTAGTTCAGGTAGATGGGGTCAACAATACTGGCACAAATGAAGATGGTACTCGTAAAATAGTGATGGTTCTGGCCGCTACTAACTTTCCATGGGACATAGATGAGGCACTCAGGTTGGCCCTTATTTTGTTGTATTTATGTTTCAGTCTCCTAGCCTGTCTTCAAATTTGAGTTGGAAAGAGTTTATGTGGTTGGCTGTGTGTATATTGCATCTTGCCAATGGACTATGCCTGTTCGCTCTTAATGTATCTAACCTGGTGTTACTCATTCAGGAGGAGGCTGGAGAAGCGTATATATATTCCCCTACCAAATTTTGAGAGCCGTAAAGCACTTATTCGGATAAATTTGAAATCCGTTGAGGTAACAACCGACTCTGAATTTGTATTATTGTTATGTTATTGTAGTCAAATCTTTTTTTGTGCAAGTAAATTTTTCTCATACATATGTCATATAAGAAAATAAACAAATGTTATGTTTATTTCCAAGGTTTGTGTGGAAATTGCTTCTAATTATTCCTATTTATCTGCATCAGGTGGCTCAGGACGTAGATATTGATGATGTGGCTCGCAGAACAGAGGGATATAGTGGTGATGATCTCACAAATGTTTGCCGGGATGCTTCCCTGAATGGGATGAGGCGCAAAATAGCTGGAAAGACACGTGAAGAGATTAAGAGCATGTCCAAGGATGATATCTCAAAGGATCCCGTTGCCATGTGTGACTTCGAAGAAGCCCTGCGGAAGGTCCAGAGGAGTGTTTCTCAAGCTGATATTGAACGGCATGAGAAATGGTTTAACGAATTTGGATCAGGATAGATCTTATCAGCGCATATTGTAGGTGATAAATTGATGCACTGCATGGTCGAGTTTCCGAGTGATTGTGTCT